TGATTATAAATCAATAAAAAATGTTAAAAAAAGAGTTATGTTCAAACTGTTTTTTACTTTCAACTTGGTTTTCCATCCACGCTATGGCAGAAGGTTCTCTGATATGCCCCTCTGTAAGTGGTTTGGCCCTCCACCTCTAAAGTCAACAAAGAGGCTCCATAGTAAACGTTGCTGGGAAACCATCACTAAGTGTGGGATGAGGCAACCTGGACAATTTCAAGGAACCAGAGAAGGACTCGTTCCACATCAACTTCAAAAACATTAAGATCCTAAGGTTTTGAAGAACCAGGCTACAAATAGAGAAAAAGTGATACATAAAGGGACCATCCCTACCCTGTGGAGCTTGTGGCCTAGAGGGGAAGGCAGACAATCAATTCCACAGTTAAGTACAATGCCAGCAAAATGACAACTTTCATTCAGAAGGATAGCCATGTGGTGCTTTGAGAGTGTGAAACAGGGAATCTGGCCTCATCTTGGAGATCAGAGAAGGCATTCCTGAGAAAGCGAAGTCTAGATGATGATTAAGAGTTAACCAAATAAGGAGGGAGGATATAGCTCAGAGGTAAAGTGCACTGCCTAGCAAGCATGAGGTCCTAGGTTCAATCCCCACTACTTCCACTTTTTAAAAAAATGAATTACCTTCCCTATCCCCTTCCTAAAAGTATGCAGTGTATGTCAATGATATCTCAATAAAACTGGAAGGGGAAAAAAGTTATTAAAACTGAAAAGAGTTAACCAAACAAAAGATGGATAAGAGTGTATATATATACAATGGAATATTATTCAGATATTAAAAAGAATGAAATCTTGCTATTTGCAGCAACACAGATGAATCTAGAGGATATTATACTAAGTGAAGTAAGTCTGACAGAGAAAGACAAATACTGTATGATCTGACTTATATGTGGGATCTAAAGAACAAAACAAATGAACAAAACAGAACAGAAAGAGACTCACAGATACAGAGAACAAACTAGTGGTGGCCAAAGGAGAGGGGGTTAGGGTTGGGTGAAATAGGTGAAGGAGATGAAGAGGCACAAACCTCATTAACAAAATAAATGAATCATGAAGATATAAGGTACAGCACAAGGAATGTCGTAATATAATATTGTAATAGTTTTGTATGGTGACGGATGGTAACTAGACTTATTCTGATGTCCACTTCAAAGTGTACATATATATTGAATCACTATGATATATACCTGAAACTAATGTGATAGTTTGTCAATTATACTTTGATTTTTAAAAAAAGGAAGCTAGGAGTAAGTTTTCAGGTTCTATATGCACAAGACTTATGGCAAGAGCATCATGAATATTCAAGGACCAAAATAAGATGTAGCATAGATGAAGTCAACAGCAAAGACCCAAACTGAAGCACAGAGAGAACAAGATTGGAAGGAACAGAGCAGAGCATAAGAGGTGTGGTGACCCAATCGAATGCAGTAGCCTAAATGCAACTTGTGTCTCAGAAGGAGAGGCGAGACTGAGGTCTGGGCAGAAGTCATTTTGAAACAATAATACTCAAGAATATTCCAAAATGGATGAAAGACTTCAACTCACCGATTCCAAAAGCTCAGCAAATCCCCCAAATAATTGGATAAACAAATTGTGATAGATCCATACAATGAAATTCTATTCAGCAATAAAAAGACATACACTTCTGACACATGCAACAATATGGCAGAGCCTCAAAAGTATTGTGATAAGTGAAAGAAGACAGTCAAAAAGGCCACATGCTGTACGATTGTATTTACACGACATTCTGAAAGAGGCAAAAGTACTGTGACAGAAATCTGGCCCGCGGTCACCAAGGCCTGGGGTAGGTAGGAAACTGACTAGAGTGGGTATTAAGGGAACTTTTGGGGGTGACAGACTTTCAACTATTAATAATAGCATGATAAACATGAGCTACAAAACAAGATCCCTACTAGGATGGGGATTTTATGATATTAATAATGAAAAATCTAGAAGAAAACACAGGAGTTTTTCAGAGTTATCCGCTGCTTCATTTTTGTCCGCTTTTAATTTTGTTACATTTTTCTTCAACTGTTGCATTTTCTACAAAGTGAATGAAATTATTATAATTAGGGAGAAGACTATTTCTGAACATGATGAATATTATTGGTACTGATTATAAAGCACAGTAAACCACGTCCTAATCCATTTACAATCTCTTTTCTAATTTGAAACGTTCTTCTCTGACAAAAGCATGTTTTCCTTTCACCATCTTTAAACTTCTATATTACTAATTCACACACACACACACACACACACACTGAATTATGTCTTGTATTTGAAAATCTGTGACTACAGTCATCACCTCCTATGGGTTTACAGAATTCTTAGCTACATTTTTCACTTACCCCTCAAATAAAGTGAATTTCCAACCTGGTATTTGCACTGCTGGCTTACATCTGCTTGCAAGATGTTCCAAGTGGAACGTGCAAAGGGAAATGTCAGGACGACACGCAATATAGCAGGTCTGCCTGGTTACCTGGTCCACCCCCTTCTACTGGCCCAGGTAGAGCAATAAATGCTGCACCTGTGGTTGGCGTGACAGGATGGTGACCCGATGGCTTGACAAGCCTACGGTATGCAGACTAACTACTTGGAAAAGAACTTCCTTGAGTGTTACTTGACACCATCCCCTGTTGATTTATGAACACACACACACTCACGCTACCTTGTCCACCGCCACCCCAACCTTTTAATCATATCAATTTGCTACATCTCAGCAAAGAAAAAGAAAAAAAGAACCAAAACCACTCATGATCCACCAATAGGTCAAAAACACAAAGGTCCACATCTGCTAAGTCAGGATGGATTCAGTTTGTAAACCACTAACACCTCATTTTCCCCTATTTTATAATCAATGTTTAATTACATAAGAAATAAATGAACATGAGAACGTTGACTTAAAAGGAACTTTTGACCACCTTCCCCCAATTTCAGTCCCTCTCTCCGTCCCACAGAGAGTTTGGGGTTTGGGGTTAAGGCTTCCAGGCCTCGACACAGAACAGAACAGAAAGTACCGGGTGGCCTCTTGAGGGTTTTTCTGTTTTCTCTCTCTCTTTACATAAATGGTTTCATACTGCAGTTATCATGCTGCAACTTGCTGATTTTTTTTTCTTTTTTGAGCTCTCTTCCAGGTTAATTACTTGTTTTAACTGCTGTAGACAATCCCATCATTTAAATACACCACATTTTATTTATCCGTTCTCTTTGACAGACACTTGGGTTATTCACCATCACAAATACTGCTGCAACGAACATAGTCATACCTGACGCCCCCAGCCCAAGCTCCTCCCATCCATTCAGGGCCAGGATGGGCCACTGTCACCACCCTGAAATGTCAGGGAACTTGGCAATCACACTGCGTGGGGTCTCAATTTCAGTTCTCCCATCACCCGGACGTTGGTGAAGCAGGGTCCTGGGGGTGCTTGTGGCCACATCACTCCCCAGGAATCTCCCTCTGGGTGGAACAGACAAGCTAACAGGAGAAACAGAGTCATCTCCTCCACCACAACTGCTCTAATGCAGATCTACGCTCATAGGCAGACTCAAATGCAACATGTCATTATTCCTCCTAAACTCTGAAAACCCACCTAAAGGCAGTATAGTATTTATCATTCCCTCCCCGTAGCCCCCGGCTGAGGAGGGCGTCCCAGACTCTCAGCCCACCGAAGGGGCTTGGAGGAGTGGGCAGGGGCCCTCAGGGAGTTCTTGCTGGAGATAGAGTGATTTTTAAAAACTACCAGGGCTGGAGGTCCAGTCTGACTCTGTTCCTTCACACATGCTGCTCGCAGCCTGCGAATACAATCCCGGCCCTGTTCCCCGGCCCGGGGCCGTGCGAGAGTCATGAAGTCATCACAGCTGCCACTGCGGGGCCCGGGGGCGCCCCCAGCGCGCTGGCCGGAGTCCCGCCCCCGCCGGCTCAGACGCCCCCCCCGGGGGGGGGGGGGCGCGAGACCCACCCGGCCGCCGGCAGCCTGGTGCTGGCCCGCAGCTACACAGCACCGAGCCTCTGGGCCTCAGGGGGCCGGGCCCCCCGGATTTAAGGCCTTTTACACGCGGAACGCGTCGCGAGGATGGCCCCCAACCTGACGCCTCGGTGTCAAGCACAGCTCTCCTCAGTGGCATCCCCCTCCTCCCCCGCCGCCGCCGTGCGCAGCACTGAAGAATTGCGGGGCACGGGACTGGGACCTCACAAGCATCATTCGGGGAAGGCGTCCTCCGTCTCAGGAGGGCTGCCTGGCCTCGGGCTCCATCGGTGCCAGTGGAAAAAGCGACGTAAGTGCCAAGTCACAGGAGAGCGAGTCCCGGCCCCTTGGCTTTACAATCTGTTTCATGAGCTGTTCTTCCCAGCACGCCTGGCTGTCCCAATTTCTCCATTAGCACCGCCGCAGATGTGAACACGAGCGCCTGGGGCGTCTTTCCCGGGGAACCCCGAGGCCTCTGAAGCAAGCAGGTGGCAGCCCCGAAAATTCTGGGAGGGCTGGGTTTCTGATGTTTAAACGGCCTCCTCTTTCATCATCTCAGCTGGGGCAGTCCTATGATGTGGGGGTTTGGGGTCAGCTTTAACGTGAGCCCCATTACCTATGCCACTGCAGGACCTGCCTCTGCCTGGTGACCTGCTGCCTTTCCCTGGGACCAGAAACACTGCGGTTGGGAGGAGCATCAGAGGGCCTCGCAATCTAAGTAGCCCAAAGGGTCCTTTGTCCTGGGGAGAGGCGGACTAACGGAGGGCAGGGACAGGGCATGGAGTAGGGAGCAGGCAGGTCACCAGGAAGGCTGACAAGCAGAGAGGGGGTGTTCCGAGGGGCTGGAGGTTAGGAATTCAGCATTTCCCGCTGACTGAAATCCTTAGAGACACTTTACAGTGTGCCCCTTCCCCCATCTCTCTTTCTCCTGTCCCTTACCATCAACCTGCTTGTTTCCAGCCACAGCTGTGGTTGCACCATCTCAGATCTCTGAGAAGCACAGCTTCATCTCTGAATCACTGCTCTGGGTCTTTTTGAAAGCGAGACATTGCAAAGGAGAAGGGGTATTTCCATCCCCAGCTCAGTGGGCTTCAGCCCCGCTCCATCAGCATCCCCTCCGTCATGCATCAGGTGTGTTCCCCTCCACCTAACCCCTCTAGCATAAAGGGGTTCATAAAGAAGACAAAAGAAGAAAGATTTCCAAGGAGGAGCACACTGAAAGTACCCTCTCTCAGCCCAACATAGAGGCTGAGTCTGGAGCTGGTTATAAAGCCGGAGAGAGAGGAGGGAGGGGAGGAGAGAGGAGGGGAGAGGAACGGTGGGAGGAGGGGAGGGGCAGGGCAGAGCTGGTGCTGAGGAAACAAACATGGAACCAGAGAGTAGAGCTGGGAAAAGTCAGAGAGACTGGGGTCACCAACTCCCTTCTTCCTCTGCCCATCACCCGGGAGGACGTCCAAGGATGAGAACAGGGGACACGTGGAGACACTGCTCAGGCAACATCACAAAGAAGGACGGAGAAAATTCTGCATTATTGTACAGAAATTAGACCACAATAAAGTTGTTTAAAATTTTTTTTTAAAAAAAGAAAGAAAAACCTGCCTAATGGCTAAGATGGTGTGAGAGAAAGTGGAAAGTGGAAAGTGGCCACTACACACCCCTATCCAGGGGCTCTGTCTGCTCTTATCTGAAGGATCTTCACATGTGAGTGCCTGCTTAAATTGTTTCCTAAAAAAAAAATAGTGAAAAACATGTTATGTATGTCCGAAAAAGAGGGTTCTTAAGGAAGAATTGAGAGCGCACACTAGACATAGTTTTGAGGTAGAAATTGAAGCAATAGACATCATTTAGCATATATATAAAAAATTGATGTTTGAAAAATTGTAAATACTTATTATAAAAAAGCAATCACTCAACTATACACGGAATAAGTTATCTCTCTAGCTATGTTTTGGCTATAATCTGGGTGTTCACGTAATCTTCATCGTCCAAACAGGAAACTAAGGCACCAGGCCAGCCACCTAGAATGTGAGTCCCCCCTGGCTCCAACTAAACTCACCGGAGATCGTGTCGGCTTGTGGATGTTTAATTTACAACAGCTAGCGGTGAACGCCAGGGGAGGCAGGAACGATGCTGCACCTTCACGAGCTCAGCTTTGTCTCTCAGACCCAGGAAATCACACTCCCTCTCACCCTCCTGACAGATCACGCAGGACAGCAGGGACCAGAGGGCAACAAGTGGGCTTCACATAGGAGGGAACCCCACCCCCAGAGACACTGCTTCCTGAAACCCGATCCTCCGTTAACAGCAGAAGAGTATCCTCCTTCCTCCCCGAATTATTTTATCCTGAGACTATGACACAGAAGTTTCCTTGGATTCCTGGAATGTACTTAAAAAAACTAAGAACAGGCTAGACCGTGCCCCAGGCACCTTGACCACGTGCTCACAACGTTCAGTGGTCTCAGGCATCTTACTCTTGCACCGAACAGTTCTACAAAAGGCGTAACACCATCTGGCCCTCGAGACACACCTATCGCACAAGATAACACGTGCTGTCTTTCCAATGACGCCGAGTTCCTTAAAGAGACAGAATATATTCTAAACTGGACCTACTTGCTTTTTGATCTGAGAATATATGTCCCAGGATAGCAACTCAAATACAAGTTCCCTTCACAGCCCTAAAAAATGTTGACTTACCCAGCTTCCATTGGACTCCTAGATTCTAGGTAAACAAAATACTTCCTGTGAATTCCTGGAGCTGGGGCCAGTCGGGCCATGGGGGAGGCCCAGGCAGGGGACAGTCACAGGCAGGAAAGAGACAAGAGGACATCAGGTCCCCGAGTCCAGCCCTTGCAGATCTGCAGCCCTCAGGAGGGAGCCCTGGAGTTGCCACGTGTCCGGGAGGGATTCGGGATCTGTAAGGAAGCAGGTTTAGTGCCCTTGGTCACGTGCAGTGGCCAGCACTGATGGGCACCCTCAGAGACGCACCACGCAGAGTGAATATTTTCTGTCTCTGCTAAGATACATCCACTCCCTCATCTTCTTGGGCCTAAAGAATGTTACATTGGGTTTTTTAGAAAGTAGCATTTATGCAAGAATTTGCATTTCATCTTTTATCTTCAAGGCACTGTCCCAAGGGCTCCTAGGGAAGGAGGAGGGATGTAGGGGGAAGAAAGAGGCAGAGGCCCTGGCTTTGCTGTAGCTCCTAAGTTGGAATTTCGTATAAGATTATATTTGAACTGAAGTTTCATTTCCAAAAAAAAAAAATTGCAAATTGTTTCTCTTTCATAGAATACAGTTCATGTCTAATGCCTGTCTGTGTCACGTGGGCATACAAACTGTGGAGTTCTCTCAAGGCTCGTGAAGGTAAGAACGTGGACAAATCCAGATCATCACATGGGGAAGAGCCTGCTGTCAGTCCTCGCAATCTAGAATCTTCCCCACTCACTGAAGGGTGATAAGCAACTCTCAAGGGCATTGTCTTTTGTTGTCTGGGAACTGACCTTTGGTCTCCGCCACATAATACAGGGTTTCATGGCGTCCCCGGGGTGCAGCCAGGGCAGGAGAAACAGTGGGATGCTGTGTTTGGTGTCTCGCTCCACCAGACAAGACCCAGTCGTTTTTGCCTTATTTAGAAAAAGACTTGTTTTATGATGACACGGACCGTTTGTTAGCACAGAGAGAGACAGAGAGGCTCACAATGTTTGAGTCCCTTATCTCGCATTGTTTATGTTCTTAAAATAATTTAATTAGCTTAATAAACAAAAGCAGTTTCAATTCATAAACAAAGAGAACTCAAAAAAAAAAAGAAAGAAAAGAAAAATCAAATGTTCCAAAACGCAAGAAGAATAAAAAGTCAAATCATTCCAAGGCCTTCTCCCACTCTCTGTTTTGCACACTCCCTGCAAATGTCGTCCCTGAGGGCCACTGGGACTTCTGGGATGTGGGCTCATTTCCTCATTTTGTTAGAATTTGGGAGGTCATGGATGCCTTCGAGAAAGATCGATATTTCAGCTGGCTCTGAATGTCACAGCTCTGTCTACCTTCTTAAATCACTCCCTAATAAGTTAACACGGAGAAAAGAGTCAAACATAAGGCTTATCATTTACAAAGCAGTTTTAACTGCATGGATCGATTCCATTTTTAAAGCAGGAAGAATGAAAAACCCTAAGGCTAAAGGGAGATTTCTGAACAAGCAAAAGGAATGAAGGGGTTACATAACTCCGAGTTCACATGATCAGCCCAAGCTGACTATAGCATGGTAACCTACCATTGTGTCTTTATTAATATTTTGGACTTTTCATTATTATAAACTCTTTAACCCGTAGATGACTGAGGATGGTTTCAAAATATTTATTCTCGTCACCTCTATGCTCCATGCTTCATAAACAAAGAGAACCCCAAAAAATCAAATGTTCTAAAAGGCAAGAAGAATAGAAAAGTCAACTCATTCTATAATCTCTATACTTTAATGTACAGTGTGTGTGTGTGTGTGTGTGTACTTTACAGAATGCAGTTTATGAACTGTGGGCAGAAATGTAAATCAATGGAATATAGATTAGGGTCAAATGCAAAATCTACAAGTAGTTGTATACTTGACACAATTAACATTAGCACTTGGTTTAAGCACTAATTACATGGTGGTCACGTACTAAGAACTTCATGCAGATTATCTCTTAATCTTCCAGAAACCCGTGAGGTAGATACAGTTGACCCCCCCATTTTACCTACGAGTAAACTGAGGTTTGGAGTTTGCCCAATGAATATAGCTAGAAAGTGTGGAAGCAGCCTCGAAATCCAGCTTCTCTGCCTCGGAAGGTTCACTCTCAACTCCTGTCTCTTCTGTGAGACGGCGGGGAGCTAACATGGAGCTCTGATGGGTTCTATTATTATTACAGCAACTGGTGTTAGGAAA